AGGGAGGGAGGGAGGGGGAGAAACACTGATGTATCTCCATCAATTGGTTGCCTCCTGCATGCACCCTGACTAGGGGCAAGAAGCAAACCAGCAACCCAGGTATGTGCCCTCGACCTGGAATTGAATCCAAGACCATTCAGTGTGCAGGCCGATGCTATAACCACTGAGCAGTAACAGCCAGGGCAAGGACTGCTTCTCTTGACTTTTCTCCTTAGGGCCTAGAACAGTATCCTGCACATACGATAGTAGTAGGTTCCTGATAAATATTTCTTAGTGAGCACGCAATGTCCAAGTCTCTTTCCATTGGAGAGCCTGTCTTTGGACTCCAACATGGGGGGCTCTCTGCAATTAGTTCCTCCCTATAGAAGTAGGGATTCGAGGGGTAAAACTGGAATTCGGGAAACCATAATAGACATGTTTTCCTACTCAGGTTTGTTCAGTACAAAGCGACTTCCTTGGAAAAACAGCACAAACATGACCTCCTGACTGAGCCAGACCTGGGGGTCACCATCGACCTCATCAATCCTGACACCTACCGCATTGACCCCAATGGTATGTAGGGAAGCAGGGAGGGCCTGCTTTAGGCTAGCAAAGGCCTAGCCAGGCCCTCTGTCATAATCTCTTGCTCCCTTGCTCTCCTCTAGTACTCTTAGATCCAGCTGATGAGAAGCTTCTGGAAGAGGAGATTCAGGCACCCACTAGCTCCAAGAGGTGAAGGGGTGCTAAGTGGGGACTGGTGACTGGCTCCAATGGAAGGAGGGTGGTGGGGTCCTGAAGTACCTGATCCTTCACTTTAGGTCTCAGCAGCATGCGAAGGTGGTGCCATGGATGCGGAAGACAGAGTACATCTCCACCGAGTTCAACCGTTATGGCATCTCCAATGAGAAGCCTGAGGTCAAGTAAGTTGTGGTGGATAGGGAGGGAAGGTGGAAATTTCAGGTGTGTCCAGTGGCCCCTAAAGGCCGTTCTTTCTCTTCAACCCTAGGATTGGGGTTTCTGTGAAACAGCAGTTCACTGAGGAAGAAATTTACAAAGATAGGGATAGCCAGATTACAGCCATTGAGAAGACTTTTGAGGATGCCCAGAAGTCGGTAATTGAGGGACTAAGATGGAGGGAGGCAGAAAAGGGGGTGCCTCCAGAGCTGCTCCTCCTCACCGTGTTTTTGCCCTACCAGATCTCCCAGCATTACAGCAAGCCCCGAGTGACACCAGTGGAGGTCATGCCTGTCTTCCCAGACTTTAAGGTCAGATCTGGGTCAGGAGGCAGAGGGGGATAGCCTGCCATCTCTGCCCATCTCACTTCTAACTCCAGTGCCCTCTATCCCCCAGATGTGGATTAACCCATGCGCTCAGGTAATCTTTGACTCAGATCCGGCCCCCAAGGACACGAGTGGAGCAGCTGCATTGGAGATGATGTCTCAGGCCATGATCAGGTAAGCGGCCCTGCTGCCAACCTTGGCCTATTCCTCACTGCCCTTTGTCCTCACTCATCACTGCGCCTCTCTTCCCCAACCAGGGGCATGATGGATGAGGAAGGGAACCAGTTTGTGGCCTACTTCCTGCCTGTGGAAGAGACGCTGAAGAAACGGAAGCGGGATCAGGAGGAGGAGATGGACTATGCACCGGATGATGTGTGCGTGGGGTGGGGTTAGGTTTTGGGATTGAGATGTCTTCCTCTCTCCCTCAAAGGGAAGAAATGGGGCTAACCCTGTCCCCCTCTTCCTCAGGTATGACTATAAGATTGCTCGAGAATACAACTGGAATGTGAAGAACAAGGCTAGTAAGGGTTACGAGGAAAACTACTTCTTCATCTTCCGAGAAGGCGATGGAGTTTACTATAACGAGTTGGAGACCAGGTACTCGGCACGCATTCCTACTTCTGATTAGCCTGGCCTGTGCTTCAGGGTCAAGACCCTGGGATATGCCACCTTGGAGGTCGTTTGTACCTAAGGATTTGTCACATGCATTCGTGAGCAGCAGAAGCCTGCTCATGTATGTGGAGTAGACCTGTTTCTAACACAAGAACCCACAGAGAAAATCTTTATGTAACACTGGAGGTATTTAAACCTTTTGTGTAGGGTAGACAGCCAAGTTTCCCAGTGTTAAGAGACTTCAAGTGAAAGTAAACATAGCCAAAGTATGGGATTATATATAAAATTAGCGTATTTTAAATGAAACCCTGAATACCCAAGTTAAAAAATGTGACCCCAAAAACCCTTCTCTGATGGCTAAAAGTTTACTCTTGGCTGGGGCCTTTGGTGTAAGGATTGGAGGGAGGGAGGAATATGACCTTGAATTTCTATTTCAAGCAGAGATTACAAATTCTGATCCCGTAAGCCAGGCAGAAAATGTGAAAGAAGGCGCAGTGGGCTGATGGGGTCTGTGTGACCTAGAGCTCTTGGCAACCTCCAAGGGACACCATAACCCAGCTCAACAAAGGACTCCAACCCATTGCTGATATACTGTAGGAAGCAAAAAGGCCCACTGGCAAAAAGACTCATATTTCCCTCAAACCAGAGATCTAGGTTCTGTTTTTAAGTGTTGGTTACTAATTCACATTAAAATCTGTACACACACTTTATAAAGTGCAAGGCAACCAAACTGGTAGCTTGGGAGCTATCATTTTCCTCCTCCCCTGCTCCAAACCAGAGTTTTCTTCCTCATTCAATCTGTATTTATTCTGGTCTGGGCTAAGCATTGGTGAGGAACATAAGAACAAAGTTGAACCACATCCCCCACTGGGGTTTTTTAACTGCATCTTCCACACCCCTCCCCCAACTTGCCCACTGCAGGGTCCGTCTGAGTAAGCGCAGGGCCAAGGCTGGGGTTCAGTCGGGTACCAATGCCCTGCTTGTGGTCAAACACCGGGACATGAATGAGAAGGAATTAGAAGCCCAGGTAACAAACATTACTGGCTCAGAGTGGGGAGTGTGGTGGTGGGTGAAGAGGGAAACAGAAGCCTGATAGAATACCTTCCTTTCAACCCTGCTGCTTCACAGGAGGCACGGAAGGCCCAGCTGGAGAACCATGAACCCGAGGAAGAAGAGGAAGAGGAAATGGAGACAGAAGAGAAAGAAGCTGGGGGCTCAGGTAAAGCTGCATAGGCCAAACCCTGGGAACCGTGGGAGGGTGGGAAACTGGGTCTCATTCCTTTTTGTTCCCTTACAGATGAGGAGCGAGAGAAGGGCAGCAGCAGTGAGAAAGAAGGCAGTGAGGATGAGCGCTCAGGCAGTGAGAGTGAACGGGAAGAGGGTGACAGGGATGAGGCGAGTGACAAGAGTGGTAGTGGCGAGGACGAGAGCAGTGAAGATGAGGCCCGAGCTGCTCGGGACAAAGAGGAGATCTTCGGCAGTGATGCGGATTCAGAGGATGCGGACTCTGATGATGAGGACAGAGGACGGGCCCATGGCAGTGNAGGACGAGAGAAGCGAAGATGAGGCCCGAGCTGCTCGGGACAAAGAGGAGATCTTCGGCAGTGATGCGGATTCAGAGGATGCGGACTCTGATGATGAGGACAGAGGACGGGCCCATGGCAGTGACAATGATTCAGAGAGTGGCAGCGATGGGGGTGGCCAGCGGAGCCGCAGCCCCAGCCGCAGCCCCAGCCCGAGCCGCAGTGCCAGTCCCTTCCCCAGTGGCAGCGAGCACTCTGCGCAGGAGGATGGCAGTGAAGTCGCAGCTTCTGATTCCAGTGAAGCGGACAGTGACAGTGACTGAGTCCTTTCAGGGCTGGTGCAGACATGATTATGCACAGAAAGGCACTTTTCCGTGGTGTATTTGTGAGCCTTTCACTATTCCCCTCCCCTCCTCCAAACCTTTGCTGTTAATAAAACCAGCTTCTCTACTTCCCTTCCCAGGTCTTATGGTCTCATTCTGCCTATATCCACCCCCTCCCACTCCATCACTTCCTCCACCCCTACCCCAGGTGCTCGGTGACCTCTGCTTATCAGCATAGAAGCAAAGGCCACAGAGGCAGGACCATTAGGTTTTCAATGAAATGTAGCATAACAAAGGTCAGAATCTTTTTTTTTTTTTGGTGTTTTTTTTTTTCCAAAATAAGCCCAGACCATTAAACAAGTGAAACTCCAACAAATAAATCTCCAACAGCGAGAAAAACTGTACAGTTACTCAAAGCTGATTCTGCCAGTGGGGCTGGGGACAGAAGGGAGGGTGAAATCATGGTGGAAGGGCTGGGGGCTGGGGAGGGGCTGTAGCTGGAGAGGATCAGGGTCCTGCCCATCAGAGTGGGGCCGCCTGCGTCCTGCACACTCTGGTCAGGTGGGGGGAGGGGGGCAGCTCTTGCCTCCCATTGTGTGTGTGGGGGGGGCGTCCCTCACCACCTCCCAGTGCCAGGCAGAGCCAGCTCACCCTGATGGATAGTGAACAAGATGGGACTGGCTGGGAGAAGGTGAGGGTCCTGTAAGAGGGACACCCTGCTGATTCCAAACGAGGTGGCCCCTGTCCATCCCACTTCCCCGGGCTAGTGGGAGGGGAGTTGGAGAAGCCCTGGGAGTTTCAGGGGAATGAGCAAAGGCACAGAAACATGGAGGGGCCGGGGTGGGGGACTTGCATAGGTTGATGAGTGTGCAAGAGGTACATAAATAAACCTGACACCCCACCCAGCCCGGCACTGGGAGAGGAGGTAGGGACCTGGAGCAGGTCCCCAGGGCTACACCACCCCCTGGCTTTCTCCCCCCTCCCTGGGCTCAGAGCTGAGGGAGGTCCAGACCAGGAGGGCAGGGGCAAAAGATCAGGGGAATGGGGTGAGAGTGCTGGGAGGGCGGTGGTTTTAATTTTTTTTTTTTGGTTTTTTGTTTTTTCCCAACATTTTGTATCTTTAATAACATACACAATGGTTACCAGCCATATTCATAACAAAAGTTATTCATAAAATGTATCTAAAAATAACATTTTTCCCTTTTCGGTGTGAAAAGCTTGAGAATGTCCCAGTGTGTGGGGGAGGGTTGAGGGGGAAAAGGGGGTTGGAATAGGGGACCCTGGCTTCCCCACAACCTGAACCCCTAAATCCCCTCCCTCCACCTGGGCCCCAGCACAACCCCGCAGTAGGAACAGGGACCAGAGGGTCAGTATGACTCTGGGGCTGGACGAATCTCTGGGTTATGATATAGTGTTCCACTTAATGAGGTCATGACATAATGGGGAGTGGGGGAAGGTTGAAAGAAAACAGGGTGGGGAAAGAAAAAAACCAAACAATCCCCTTTCCCTTATTCCTTACCCCCAAGTCTTTCAGCAACCAGACCTGGGAGTGGAGAAGAGTATGTTGATGGGGGAAGGGGATGTTAAGGCAACAGACTTCCTGACCTCACTGGCTGTCCTGGCTCCCCACCTTCAACCTCTGTATCTGGGGAGCCAAGGCTGGGGGAAAGGGGGGAAGGGCTAGGGGGTCTGGAGGAGGGGGCTCTGCCCCTCTCCCCTCATAAAATTCAGATTCCCCCTGCCACTTTCTTGGCTCAGAGAGAGGCCTGGGGATTCTAAAAATGAGAGGGAATGATCAGAGAAAAACCGTTAAGAACTATATAAATATGTATCTTAAATAGGCCTAAGAAATTAATTGTAGAGAACCTCTGATAAACAGGGCAAAAGGAGGTGACTGAGAAGAGGGTGGCTCCTGTCCTCGGGGAATGATGGGAATGGGGAAGGAGAAGGCGGCGGCAAGGAGAAAGGTTCTTCTCACCTGCCTTCTCTTTAGCGCCTCTCAAAATAACATTCAGGAGAGCAGGTTATCTACCCTGCTTGTCTCTCCCCAAATGTCAGATGGTTCTGAGTAGGCCCCACAAGATAGTGGGTCAGTGAGTCTCTGGAGGAGGCTGCTCCCTCAGGAGGGGCAGATGGTGAGCAGTCTGGAGGAGGTAGGGGTGGGATGGGGCCAGGTGGGAGATGAGGGAGGAAATGAGGGGGCAGGCAGGCTGGCCAAGTTCCTGCCCCCTTTATTCTGGCTGCCCCCACCTTCCTGGGCCTCAGCTGAGATCCCTCAATGGGCCTAGGAGTGAGCAAGGCGTGTGCCAATGTTAAACAAAAGTTAAAAGGATGAGTAGAAAAATATTAGAATGTATAGCTGAGCCAGCCCACCCTCTCGCTGTCGCAGAGAAGCCTGTTGGGGGTTGGCCCCCGCCCGCCGCCCAGGGAGCCTATGGGTGCGCTGGGCTGTGGGTCCTGTCAGATGGTGGAGGTTTTGTCTGTCCCATCTGTGGTAAGAAAGGGAGGAAGGGAGGAAGATCAGGAGCTGGTGGGAGGCTTGAGAAAAGATGCTCAGGTAGCCTGCCATCCCAGTCAGGTCCTCCCTGATATCCAGCCTCCCCTAGGGACCCCTCAAGGATGACTCTGAGTTGCTCAGTTCAGAGGTGGAGACGCTGCTGGGTAGGTGGGAGCTGGGTCAGGGATAGAGGAAATGCTCACCACCCAAGGCGTGTTCTGTCATGCTCAGACACAGAGACTCCAGAGTAGGATTGATCTCCAGGTCAGGCCCAGGGACCGGACAGTCTGTGTGGGACAGAGGAGAGTAGGGGGGGTAAGGACTGGACTGAGGTGGAGAGTAAAGCTGGAAAGACAAAACACAGGATGGGCTGGCATTGGGGAGAGGCTGGGAGAGACGAGGGAAAAGGAGGGAGGAGAGACAGAAACAGCACATGAGACAGGAACACACTACAATGGAAGGTACGACTGGGCAGAGATGAAGCACAAAGACAGGCCTGGGTGTATCACAAAGCAGGCAGAGGTGGCAAGGGCTCGGGCAGAGGCTTGGCCAACCCAGAGAAAGCCACCTGCAGACAGAGGAAGCGATGTGAAACTGAGGGAGCTTGCTGGAGGCCACAGAGGCTGTGACTATTTTGGACACACACTGAACGTTGTCTTGGGCACAGTCTAGGCATCTGCTGTGGGTGCTGGGCAGCCCTGTGCTCCCTGACTGATGACCTGCTCTGTACTTGCTTCAGAAGCTTAATTAGAACTCTTCCTGTCCCTTCTTGGACCTGCTCCTCTGGGAAGGATTCGATCCCGGCAGGCCACGCAGACAGGGCAAACCAGGACAGCAGCCACGGGGCTTGTCCTCAAACCACCTCTCAAAAGGGCTTCCTATTCTGGAGTCTGGAAGACAGCTCCCTCCCTGGGCTGACTTAAACCTACCCCACACTGCTTAAAACCCTTCCTGGGATCCTCACTGCAGTTGCAAGTCTGAGCTTTCTACTTGGGTTTAGAAGACCCTGCTCCCACTTCCGGCTTCACCTTTCATCACGTCCCCTCAGAACCATGAGCTCAGGCCATGTCAGCCACCTAATTGTTTTCCCTTTTGACCTTGGGCAAGTCACCTCCTTGAGTCTCAGATTCGTGACTGATCAGACAGGAATGACATTAGTGCCCTCATGTGCAGTTGGGAGGGTTTGACAGTGCAGAATAACTGTCTGACACAAAGCTGGGCACACAGCATATCGGTAAAAAGAATTAGTTTTTTTTGCTCCTGCAGTTCGTCAACCCAGTGTTTTAACATCATTTACAGCTGTCAAGTCCTGTGTTAGGATGAACACAACTGACAGGGTCTCCTGCCTTCAACAGATGTAGTCCACATTGTCTTATAAATTACGAATCCCTACTGATTTGGCAGTTTATGACAGGAAGAGTTTAGGGTCACCTGCATATCTAAGATCTCTCCAGAGGCAGCCATTCCAGACTAGCCTTATCTGCCTCTGCAGCCTTGGTGCCCAGCAATGCGCCTGGCACAGGGAGGAGTCATCCTCAGTAATTGAGCAAGGTGGGGCTAACGCTCCTCCACCTTCTCTTCAGTCCACTTCATTCTCATTCTGATCTCCTGTCTCTGGGCTGGGCTGTGAGCACAGGGAAAACAGCCCTTCCACCTCAAATATCCTTTAGTGTAAAATCTGATCCAAGAGCTAGATGGTTCTGGCCTGGTTACTTGGGTTCTGAAATAATGCCGATGGACTGATAGGCAGGACTCACCTCCATAAATACCTCACTGCTCTGACTCGCTCATCTCCTCAACTCCTTCCAAACTGAGTATTTAATGATCCTCTAAAAAGTGGTGACAGAGACCAACATGGATACCAAAGTTATTATATAGGAGGAATAGGTGGATATGCGGGAGTGGAATTAAGGGGTAAGAGAAGATAAAGGAAGGCAGTGCTCACTTTGGCAGCACATGTACTAAAATTGGAACGATAAGAAAATTAGCATGGCCCTTGCACAAGGAGGACGCACAAATTTGTGTGTTCCATATTCAAAAAGAAGAGAAAGGAAGGCAAGACCTGAGAGAGAAAACTGAAATGGGGTGGGGAAGAGTACAAGAAAACCCATGATGAGGGGAGGTGGGAAGGATGGGGAGAGGTACTTCGGTACAAGAAACAGAAGAGAAGATAAAGGCCAGCTAAGGGTGCTGTGGAGGCAGAGTCCCAAGGGCTGAGGCACTTTACCTGGAGGGAACATGAGAATGGCCTGGGGCGAGGAGTGAACTGGGAGCGAGTGGGTGCGCTGCACAGAGCTGCGGCTCTGGCTGGGCATGCTGTTGCTGCCTCCAGGGTTGGCAAACCATAGGTTCTGCAAAGAGCATGGGGAGAGAGAAAGTGAGGAAGAGGCCCAGGCCCAGGCCCAGGCCCAGGAGTGGTGGAACTGGCAAAGGAGCCCCCTCCCCTCTAAGCCAGGCTGATGCAAATATATGGACACATGCATCCCAGGCACGACCACCCCAACCCCAGAAGCACCAGGCCCTCTATTTCTAGCTGCTCACCTGTCGGCCCTGGCCCCCAAGGCTGGGGCTGGTGAGGGCATGTCTGGGGGAGATGCCCCCAATGCTCGAGGGGCTCAGAAGGCCCATTCTGCCGGGCGGGAGGGCCCGGGGAGGCATTGGGAACTGCCGCTGGGTCCGCCGGGCCACCCCCATCCCCACAGAGCCAGCTATGGGGAGTGAGTTGGAGCCAAATGCCCAGCTGTGAGAAAGCAGAAGGCAGGGTGTCAGTTTAGGTGGATGGGGCCCATCTCTCCACCCCCTCTCACCTCCCTCCACAATCCCAATGGGTAGGACAGAGCCAGACCTGCTCTGAGCAAAGATTCCCTGTCCAAGTTCCTGCACCACACATTCTGTCTCCTTCTGTTCAAGGGTACCCCCAGGAGAGAGACAGGAAATGTTTCTCACATCCAAGCAAAGCAGTCCTCCTAACTTCAATACGCAGATGTGATATTTCTGTTATTTATTTGGGGTGAGAAGGGGCTTCAGAGACCTCTGTACACAAGGTATAAAGAGTACAAGAAACAAGCAAAGGGCCTGCTATCAGGACATGAGCTGTTTTTGCCAGCTTAGCACCCTCTTTTAGCAAAAGAACATCCTGATTTTCTTCTAGTAGTCTTCACTGGGTGATGTGTCACCCAGTGATAGAGTCCCACTGGATTCCCAGCCCAGAATGCAATCACCCCTCTAAGCACTAGCTGTCAACCAGCAAGGGCCTAGGGAGGGATGGCCTGGAAGCCCGGCTGCCAGCCTACCCTTTCTGCTGCCGGTAGTTCTGCATCTCTAGTGCAGCTTTGCGCGGGAAGGTCCGGAGGAGCTTCAGCACTTGCTGTTTCCAGGACAGCAGCCGTTTCTTCTGCGTCTCCGTGAAAGCCTAGAATTAGAGAAGTAAAGCAGGGAGGGGGTGCTTCTTTCAGATCTGCCTTCTGTTCATTTGCTCAAATATTTATCAACTGCCTGCTCTGTGCCAGGCAATGCTGGGATGCAGAGGTGACCTGTGACCAGTTTAGCTGGGGGGAAGATACACATAACTGTGATGAGTGCCATGAGGGAGAAACACAGAGGGAACGAGAAACCTGATCTAGAATGAGGGACTGGTAAAGGCGTCCCTGAGATAGAAACGTTTGAACTGGGAGCTGAGGGGCCAGAAGGTGGTGAGATGAAGGCTGGAGAGGTCGGCAGGAGCCAGCCAGGCACATAAGGAATGTTGGCCACATTAGCAATGGAGGGTCTTGGGAGCTTTAGGGAAGGTCTCACCTCATGAGTCAGGCACTTTTCAATGAGCTGGAGGTAACTGGTGATGTTCTCCTCATCTGGTCGGGACACCAGCAGCTGGGTGCACACTGAGGACACGGGAAAGTGTAGGAGGTTAGCCCCAGCATGCCCTCCGCCACAGAATGCAGGACAGGAAACTCAGGCTGGATAAGTACTAGCTATGTGCCAAGCATGATACCTGGCCTATGAAGCTATATAAAGAACCCAGCATCATGTGCAGCTATGAAGTCAATGATACCGTCTCTCCTTTTAACTCTTACAAGAACCTCATCAATGGGCATTTTTAGCATGAGGAACCTGAGGCTGAGAGAGGTTGAGTCACTTGTCCCAGGTCACAAAGATATAGGGATCCAGACCCAGTATAAAGTATGCTATGTCATGCTGCCTTGGAAAAACCCTTTAAGAGCTTTACCATACCCATCCTGTGGACTTCAGTCACCTCTGGGAGAACCAAAGAATTCTCCTTATCTGTTCACTCTGTACTGGATACAGTTTCCACTGACACACTGTCCTGTTTTTTTCTAAGGCTAGAGACCCTTTGAGTGTGAGCACTGTCTCCTACCACCAGCCTGGACATACCTGAGGGCAGGGGCATTGCCACCTCAGTCTCAAGTCACTCTCTATGGTGTTCTAGTCCCCAGGGTGCTTTAAAATGTTGTTTCGCCCAGCTGGGCATGGCTCAGAGATTGAGCATTGACATAGGATCCAAGAGATTGCAGTTTGATTCCCAGTTGAGGCACATGCCCAGGTTGTGGGCTGGATCCCCAGTCAGGGGCGTGCAGGAGGCAGCCAATCGATGACTCTCTCATCATTGATGTTTCTGTCTTTCTCTCCCTCTCTCCCTTCCTCTCTCTGAAACTATATCTGGAGATATAGTATTTAAAAAAAAAAAAAAAAAAAAAAGTTCTGCTTCCACTATTTAACTTGAATTTAACACTTAATGCCTGGCTCTCTGCCCCAGAACTTCCTGCTGGGCCCTAGGTGGTCTCACCTTTGCCCATCACCCGTGTAAACTGGCTGGGGATGTCTCCGTCAGCAACGGGAGCTGGGGCTGGCTCACTGCCATCAGTGGGAACTGGAGTTGGTGGAGGGGGATAGCTCTCTGCAGCTGGAGGATCCTTGGCCTCAGTGCCCTTGTCTGTGCTGGGATGAGCCAGGGGAGGCTCAGCACCTGGCAGCAGTGGCTCCCCCCGGCCCGCATCCTTGGCAGTAGAGGTGGTGGTAGTGGCGGTGGCCACAGTGGCCTGGAGGACACTATAGGCCTTGATAGGGGTGATGATGATCTGCTGCAGCTCCTGCAGAGCGTTTCGCAGGTTTCCTCCTTCCAGCACATCCTGGGTGGGAGGACATGGTTGAAGTCACATGCAGACCCCACATCTATGTAGGATGACTACATATGGGCAGTCAGGGCTTGAAGAGTGCTTGGCAGGACCCTGGGTTCCAGCACATAGAGAAGGCAGGTAAAGGCACCACAAGCCCACATATATGTACACATTTGTATCACATATTTCCTCTTCCCCCTTCAAGATCGAGTCCCATGGAGCTCAGGAGAAGGTGGCTAATCCTGGGGCCTTAGGGTCCCACCAAAAGTGTAACCAGATTCGGAAGCAGAGATCTGGACTATAAACTGAGAGGGGAGGACACCAGAAAGCAAGTGGCAGGGAAAGGGTAAAAGAAATGTAAACTGAGGCAGATATGGAAGGAGTAAGCAGATGAGAAACAAAACAAATGGAGAGATCATGCACCCAGGGAGATGCTGTGCTCTACCAGAAAGACTATTCAGAAATGGGAGTGAAAGAGGAGAGAAGAGATTGAGTCAACAGACAGAGTCTGGGACACACACCAGAACAGATAGGGAGGGGAGCCTCTTAGATACAGGCAAGTGAGCCCTATGATCCAACTTGTACTTGGTACCCAGAGTGTGGATCCCTAAGACTGGGGCCACTGAAGGTCAGACCTGAAGGCTGGGGAGGTTCTGAGGGGAGGCCACATGGGTAGCAAGGATGACCCAGAGCCTTCAGTCTACCAGTACTACTGGGCAGCCAGCTGACCTTGGAGATGGGGAATACCAAGTCCTCACCTTCTCCAGGGACTTGAGGACGCTCTGCCTCTCACGCAGTTTCTGGATGCTCAGGGCTATCTTGTGGCGGGCACCTTTGGTGACATTCTGTGGTAGAGCAGAAGGGGACAGGAAGCTGGAAATGGGAGGTTGAGGTACTTAGGGTGCCCCAACAAGGCTCAAAAAACTGGAGGGGGCTCAGGCCACAAGGGTAGTGTCAAAATGGTACCCCAACCTACCCTGATGGTCCCCTGAGCTTTACCTGAGACTCCAGATGCTGCTCCGTCAGTGTCATCATCTCCTCGTAGCTCATCTGTGAGAACAGGGCTGCGTACTTGTGCAAGCGGAGGCTTTTGAGCCAGGAGGGCACATCTGTGGAAAAGGAGGGAGGGCATAAGGTCAGGAGTCTGTCCCATCAGTCACCTCTGTGTCCTGGCTTTATTATCGGTCTGGGGTGTCTGAGGGCAGGGACTTCTCCATCAGACCAGGATCTGTGGGGGAGGGTCTCTCAGATCAGTCTGAACCCTAAGGGCAGGGACTTCTACTCCCCTCAGACTTCTCCCCTTCTCTGGGAGGGGATGTTGAAGGTTGGGGGATGAGATAAGCAGGGTGGCAGCTACGAGTTCCCTTTAAGCTCTGCAGAAGCCTCTGGAGGAGGGTCCTAGTGCTGTCTTCCCATTGTACCTTTCATGCCACTGCCATCCTCCTGGAAAGTGTTCCGGCTGGAGCCCTGCTCCTCCGTCTGCTCACTGCCAGAGGAGGCCACGCTGCTCTGGGGCGAGAGGGGTGCGTGGTCGGGTGTGGTGAAAGCAGCCCGGGCCCCGAGCTCCTCTGGACTTGGCCACTCACCAGGGGCCTGGGGGCTTGTGGGAATGAGCGACATGGAACGCTTCAGCGGGCTGGGGTGGATTTGGCAGGGGAGACCTGGCCAGAGGACAAGACAGGCAAAAGGTCAGGCTTAGGGATCTGACCACAGGAGACCATGCCACCCTGGTTAGTGCAATGGATGGCAGCTCAGCCCCAGAATCCAAGAAGGGACCCTGGCGTCTGAGGGGAACCACCTACCAGATTACTGCTCATTCCCTCACCCGTCATGCCCAACCCATCAGCAAGCTATGAGCTACTTCTCTGAACTTCTCCACTTCCTCTCCTGGCACCCTGGTCTGATTCAATGGCATCCCTAACTGGAATTACTGCCACAGCCTCCTCACTGGTGTCTTGCCTCCTACAGTCTATTCATCTCACAGCAGCCACAATGATCCTTCTAAAAATGCAAATCTGACCAAGTCAGTCCCGGCTTAAATCCTGATGGCTTCTCTTCATGCTGAAAGTTAAAATTCAAACTTCCACACACACCACTACAAGGTCCTGCTCATCTCTGACCCCTCATCTCCCACTTACCCTTTGGATCAAGCCTTTCTAGCCTTTTGCCCAACACCCCCATTTGTTCCTGGAACACTCAAGTTTGTTCCAGCCTCAAGACTTTTGCACTTGCTCTTTCTTTTCCTCCTGATCTTAGCAGTTGGCTCCCTCAGGTTTCATTTCAGCAAGTGTCACCTCTTCTAAGGCCTTTCCTGAACCCTCAGTATGAAGCAGCTGTCCCCACCAATTCTGGTTACTCTATTATATTTGTCTGTCTTATCTTTCTTACATCTATCACAACCTGAAATGATCTTATCTAGTTGTTTACTTGCTTATTAACTATATGCCCCTGATGCGATAGGACAGCAGGGACCTGTCCTGTCCTAGATAATCATTGTATACTCAGTAATTCCAGTGGGGCCTAGAGCAGAGGAGTTTCTTCAGAAGTACTAGTAAAGTAAATGAATAAAGTACATAAACTGTGTGCTCAACATCCTTGTCCTTGGATTTCACCAGCTCACACAGATTTTTCCTGGACTAAGCACAAATCAGGGTGAATTCAGGCCCTCTTACACAGGATGTTACACACCCTCCATCCAATCCATTCTTGAGGTAGAAAAAGGAATCCAGCTGGACTTTTTACCATTCTCAGGACAGGGCAGATTCCCACAGCTTCCAGACCTTTACACATGCTATTCCCTCTGTCTAGCTCTTCCACCCTCTTTGCCAGCCATTTCAGCCTGCACTCCTTCTTCTGCATTTCCTCTTCTGGGACTCCTTCCTTTGCATTCTTTGGGCCCCTGAGCTGCTGCTGCCCTCTTCACTAGCCTGCCTCTCTTAGACTGGACTCTGGGGCTTGTATAGGATGGCAACCCTGCCCAATCATTTCTGCATCCCCAGGATCAGGAGCAAGGACACAATATACAGGAGCCCTCAAAGTTTCCTAAAGGTCAAAAGGAGGGTACCCATGATCCTAAGAGTGCTAACAGGGACTCTGAGCTTGACACGGAGGATCTAGAGTAACCCAAATCCAAGAAAAAGGAAACAAAGCCAAATGTCTCACCCTAGGTATGTGAGACTATCAAAGCCCAGGAACTGAAGCCCTCTGCCCCAATTCCCACAGAGAGTTGGGAGGCAGAACCCCGGCCTTATTTCTAATGAAAAGGCTGGGATTCCTGCCAGTGCTCTACTGACACCAGCCCGGGAACAAGGACCAGCCTGGTATAGGGCCCAAAGCACCTTCCTTAATCTGTGACAGTATCTATGTTCCTAGCTAGGAAGTTGCCTGAGGCAGAGGGCAGTGCACTGACTCACTCCCTAAGGCCACCCTCTATCCCTGCCCATGACCTCTAGAGTCCTCTGCTCAGGGTTCCTTCCAAGCCTCTGAACTCCCAGAAGAAGATGGTACACCTTGGCCTCTGGGAAACCCTCAATACAGGCCTTTTTAATGCCTATCTTGGTGCCTCTAGCCTCCTCCTTCCTCCCTTCTCAGCCAAGAAGGCAGGCAAGGCTGAGGGGGCAGGAAATTATCCTGATTGGAATGATTGTGCAGTTTCTGAGGAGTCCCGCTTGGCCCCACACTGAGGTGGAGGCTGACCACAGCATGAAAACTATAAAAACAGGAATGCCGGCTAGAGATCCAGGGCCTCACACTCTCCAAGAAACCCTGGTCTGTCCTTGGCAGTACCCCAAACCTACCCTGCCTGCCCTTACAGGCCAATCCTTGCTCCCCATTCAAAAATATTTTAATAGTTTCCTGTTTCCTGCAACTGCTTGAAATTGGAAAGTTTCATCCTATCCAAGCCCCCCCC